TGAATGTTCCATTATAAATTAATACCCATGGTGTACTTTTGAGTTCAAAATACTATTTGCGAATCAAGATATTGGCCGACGAAATGTATCTTATATGCGTACTTTTTTATATTGTAAATTCAGTTCGAACTACATCATTGTCGTCCGCCCGCCAGGCCAGGAATGACCCATCGTGGTTTGGATTTCCCATGAGCTCTGGGGCCTGAGGCGTTTCAGTTTTACGTCAAAACAGTGAGGTACGTTTGGGCGTCATTACCTCCTTTATAGAATGCAAGCTTGATAGTGAACTCAAAAACAATTATCAGCGAACACAGTATGTTTTTTTAAAGAAACATATTCTGATTCAAATTCTAGAACATAGCTTAAGGACCCAAACGTTGCTATAGATAGCAATACATCTGTCTCAAAAGACTTCACTCAAACTTTTGACACATTATTAGACTCGAAACGTTCACTGAGAATATGATTTTGGGAAATAAATGGAGGCGTGATCGGCTGCATGTATGTTGAATTTACGGATCATTTGATTGTTCTTCAACATACCACAATCGAAATTCCTATCCGTCATCTCAGGTTCTTGGCGTGGATGATATCTGGAGGTCATACCGAGTAAAGTTCAACCGAAACACTGCCGATTTGACTGCAGGTCAAAATGAGGTCCTGTCTCGGTCTAAGAAAAGGTCAGAAATCTTGTGCGAGCATTATACCCTTATTTTATACCTCCTTACTAGGAACCGAACGTTAGCTAGGATATAATATATTGAAAAAGGACGAGCGACGTTTACATTCTTACGCAGTATTTTCGAATACTTTTGATTAACAGATGGTTGGACCTCAAATGTATGGTAAGAACACTATGGAGAGTGTGCACTTCAGTAAATAGCAATTTGCATCAGAAATATAATCAGTCACGCAATATGTGTTGCCCGTACTTATTGGTAGTGCGATGGTTCCTAGTATTGCTAAATATATCGTGATAAAAGCAGTCGTTATAAAGTTGGTCACCTGCAAAGCATGTTGATAATAATAGCTCTCCAATGTTCTCCTTGTGACACATTTATACGGCCCGTTGTCCGTTAATTATACAGAAGGTAGCGAATTTACGACTACCAGGAAGTTAGCTATCGCTCATGCTAACATTATACTATCTTAGTCATATATTTTAGAAGGTAAGCCGACTACAGGCACTTTCTGAGTTCAGAAAACTTGTCTCAATTTTGTTTATCTTGAACAAGTCTAAAACTCTAAAGGCTTCACTTACAGTTCAAAAAATTTCCAGTTTTCAGTATGGGGAGGCCACGGACGGTGATTTGCTATATTTGCCAACGGGAATTCGGCACAGCTTCCATCGGAATTCACGAGAAACAATGTCTGAAAAAGTGGCATGATGAGAACAACAAACTTCCACCCAACGAGCGTCGGCCGGAACCGGTAAAACCACAGGGATTTGGAAATTTCTCAGATCAGGGAGGTGGCGGTATATCTGGGCAGGCAATTAAGACCACTGGTGTTGACCCCAATCTCGATGCCTACAATGAGGCTGCCTCCAAGGCAGCTCAGAGCAATCTAGTTCCCTGTAGGAGATGCGGTCGAAGGTTTGCTGCCGATAGAGCTAAAGTGCATGAACAGTACTGTCATCCACCAAAGGCACGGAAGCCTGTATATGAGGCTCGAAAACCAGATTTCGACATAAACATCCTACGGACACCCTTGAATGCGGGCCAAGGAGGGCCGCCGCGGATGGGGTCTCCGGGCCCGAGACAGCCCACGCCTGGTCAAAGCAACGTACCTACTTCCTCAAATGGCTTC